GCAAATTGTTCCCCTTCTTATGCAAAAAATAAGAATCAATGAAATGGCCTTTGCCTATTAATGTATTTTATACTGTTGGACTCTTTTGCAAAGCAGTTCTAGGATTGAGACAACGAAGCCAAGAATGGCAGATTTACTTCAAAAGGTTAAATGAAAAATTACATCTGACTGAATGAACCTGGGATGCCTACAGCAATTCAGTCTCTCTAAACCTTGGGATTGTATTGAAAGGGGTACAGCTGCATGTGATGTGAACATAGAAGCCCATATTAATCCCCCATTTCTAAACTTACCTCTGACTCTCATGTAACCAAAGCCCTTGTATACATCATTTACTCCTTCTACCTCACTGCCACTCTTTGCAGAGCAGACGGTAGTCATTTCACTTCACGAGGCAATTTCAGTGCTTACTATGGAGTAGGCCACCTTCCATCCTAGTTCCACTTGCTAGTGGAAGGGTACTGGCCACACAGCCTTGGCCTCACAAAGGACTGTTGACACTCTCACTTCCACTCACAACTGAGCACATTTGACCAAGGGACCACCCAGCTTCTTATAAGCTGAACTCATTGCTGCTGTGCCTCAGCATTTCCACACGGAGCCAACAGCAACACCTCTGAGAATTATCTGGCAGTAAAGTTAGGGTGGAATTCAGTGACAGCATTTCAGGGATGCGCACCCTGGAGAATCATTCAGGCTCTTACCGTATGTCTCTCACAGCCCATGAAGTCAATGATATCAAACTGGAACAGACTGCCCAGAGTGGTTGTGGAGTTATCTTCTCTGGAGATATTAAAAACCCACCTGGATGCTTTCCTGTATAGCCTACCCTCAGGAACCTACTTAGGCAGGGAGGTTGGAGTAGGCGATCTGCAGAGGTCCCTTCCAACCTCTATGACTCTGTGATTCTGTGAAATACTAACACGCTTAATGGGAAGAGGGAAGCAAATGGCAGGGAGACATAAATAGTGATTTTTTAACTCTCTCAATGAAGGAGAGTTTCAACAACTTTCTCTGACAGTCTGTTCTCATGTCAATCCTGACAGGGACCACACAGAGCCCAAACCAGGAGAGAGCCACCCCATGCAATCATAGCAGCTGGAGATATCAAGATATCACTGTGGCTGAAGAATGGACTAGGATTCTTGTCAAGATTAGTCACTGGGCTCGGTATTCTCTGAAGATAACACAGTGCTAGATTCTGACTTACAATAAAAAAAAGAAAGAAACCACCAAAAAAACTTCAACAGGAGGTATTTTCCATAGGCAGAACTAAAACAAACAAACAAACATGGAAATTCTCTTTTCTTGGATGAAAGTCTATAACCCAGGATTTCTATGTAAATAAGATGATTTTTTTTTTTTAAGACAGCGCAAAATGTTTATTCTTTTCCTTATCTTTCCTTTCTTCCTGTCCACTTTTCTCCTTTGCAATCACAGAAAAAGGCAAAAGGAAAGCTGACAATAAAGCCTGCATCCTCCATGTTTCTGAAGGAAGAACAGTCCTCTTTGTAGGAAATTTTTTGAACAAAGGGCTGTGAGCAGCTCCACATCTTGTTGTGTTCAACTCTCTCCCTCTGTAGTTCTGGTGTTCTTCAGGGAAATACATTTGCTCCTCAAGTGCCTCAATTATTAATCCAGGTATATAATCAGAGCTGAATAGAGCCACTATGTGAAGCATGACTGTTCTCTTATCATATGACCGGGAATATTCACAAAAAATATAGAGAAGGCATGACCTTCATGTTCCTGTGTAGATCCGCTTCTGATTCTGTTCACTAAAGGTGAATTGATCAGCATGAGACCTTCACCGTGACAGGTGAGTTGTTACAGTAGATTTTTATTTCCCCTGCTTTCCCATTTTATTTCATGAAAAATACATCAGTTATAGAATGTCTGGAATAGATTCTGAGCTACATATGGAAGTGGATTGCTTGCCAGTGCCGGATGCTACCGTAACATGTACGTCACCATGCCTTTCTCAGTTGGTGATTAGTAGTTTGCAAAGTTTGGGTGAGCATGGAGTGATTTTACCAGACACGAGTGAGATGCTCTGTAAAAGCAGTCGTATGGTGTTTGAGGTTTGTCTTTCTATCTGGCTCTACATTCAAATACACCTCCTCCCAAGCTGTTGTTTCCTACTCTGCACATAAAACTTCCATCCACTTAGCTTGAATTTTGGTTTTTGCTAGGAAAGGCCTCACAGATATGAGATGTGATTGCCCAGAGAGGGCAGGCAGATAACCTCAGTTGTAGAGTTACATTTTTCAGTGTTAGCTTTCTGGGTTTGCCCTTTTAAGATATGACAGTTGTATATAAGTGGAAGTAATTTAGCCCTGAAGGGGTGAAATTCTTTTTTAAGCTCTTCATGTAATCTTAGTTTGTTATTGCAAAATGATCTCTAACCAGGAGCAACTGGGTCGAATCTGATGCTGAATTATAAATAACCAGAAATCCTGGGGCAGTCTTCTGCAGTGCTGGAGTGGTTGCCAGATGCAATTGGTGTCAGATGTATGTCTAACTCAAATTTTGCCTGTATTTCACCTACAGGTATCACAGACAGGAGGGCAGCTGGGGAGGTGTTCTGCAGACTGTCCTGCAAGGGGAAGATCACCTATACCAGGATATTGATGTAGATGATCAGATGAGATGGTACCCTACAAAACTAGTGGCTGTAAAAGTAAAAAGCAAAAAACAGCCTCTGACTAGAGGAGGTAAAAGACTGGAACTGGAAAGAGAGAAGTGCAATGATTGCCTCTGGCTGTTCAGCAGCTCGAAAACCCTGAGAATTGATTTAGCTCTGCAGACACTTTAAATACAAACTTACTCCCTCTCCAGTAAATCCTTCTGTTTTACTTGCATGAAGTGCTGAGACCATCTTTTTGCATACCAGCATGAGGTCACTACAGACAGCTAAATACTGGAGTATGTGTACTGTTCAATGGGAGCATCATGACTGCAAAATGATGCAAGAGAACTTTTATACCAGGGAAGTGGTGAGATCTGTTCAGTTATCCAGAGCTAGAACATCAGAAGCTAGTGAAATGCAAGAGTGGGAATACCAACCCACCTGTCTTCTCCCACTCCATCTGGAGTATGGACTGGATTGTGTGAGGGTACAGAACGTGTGGACAGTCAGGTGCTATAGACCAGATCTTCATCATATATGCATACATATCTCTTATCAATCATCATGGCTAGAAAGAGCAGTTTTTCCTGTAAAGGTGAAGCTGGAGCCTGTGTTGTAAGAGTTGGTGGAAAAAAAGGAAGTTGTAATGTTTTTCTGGTTCCTTTGGTAGGGCAACTTCTGATGAAAACATATGATTCAGCCTAGTTTTGTTTTGTGGGCAGCTGAAGCAGATTTTATATATCTAGCAATGTGGAGAAATATCTTGTTCTTTGTCAGGAAAGGAATATTTCCAGCCAGATAGGTTGAGCTACCTTTAAATTATTTCATTGAGTAGTTTAGCAGCATCAAAGAGTTTAACATGGGCTAAAAGGTGACAAATCAAACAAAATCAACAAATTCCTTAAAAAAGGCCACCTAGGAGTAATTCTTTTGTGCTAATCTTATTGACCAAATGGAATGCCTCCCCTGTGCAGGAGGCTCTCTCTTCATAGCTGAGTATGTTAGAGGACAAGGCCAAGGGTCTTATACCAAGCAGCCATCAAATGACACAACACTGCAAATGTATGTCCCTCTCCTCCTTCCCACCCCTCCACCCCATACAAAATTCATCGGTATTCCTACTCCAAATTACCCAGAGGTGCAGTGTTACCAGACATGGACAGACAGACATCATGTAGCCAGGTCCAGCTCATAAGCAGTTCACTAAAGAGCCGGCTGGGATAAGGGAGGGAACTGCTGTGGGTGTACTGTTCCAGTCCCATCATTTCCCAAAACACTGAATGAAATAATAACTTGTTTATAATGATGCATGACATCACAGAAATGCTACACAGCAGAACTTGAGAAACAGCTTTGAACCCTATGACCTTCTTTCAAGTGAGAAAGTCCCTAGGGAGGCACTCAGGAAGCCCTATCCTTCTTCTAGTTCTCCAGAAGAAAATAACTTTTTTTCCAGAATTAAAAAATAGGTGGACCTCTTCCACTTGCCACATTTGAACATGGTGGATTTCTTTTCCCAGAGAGCTGATCACTCTAGCTTAAAGCCGAAGAAACCTCTCTTGCCACAAAGTGATAGGAGTTAAGACACCAATCAAATAGATTTTTGGCACAAAAGGTACTTGTCCAGGCACCTGTCCAGGCAACTTGAACTTCTCCTACAATAAGCTACAGAAGAAAAAGAATCCATCAGTGTCACACACCTTCACAGTGCATACTTATTTTCTCCATTCACCTGTACATATCCTGTTTAAAAGCAACTGATTCACAGCTGTGCTTTTGATACACTCTTTCTTTGCCACAGTACCACAGCACAAATTCCTTTGTGCTAAATTGCAACCAATCCCATCTTAATCTGATGCCCTAGTTATGCTACCTTTTTGAACTTCATGTGTTTCTAAGCAATAGCAAGTGTTTACTAACTAGTTACATCTTGTGTTTTCCTATTTTACAAGATACAAAAGCAATCTGAAGTCAAGAAGAAAAAAAAAAAAAAGCCAAAATAAATGAGAAGATCTACTTTAGAGATGTAATGCAGTGTACCTTTTACCCCATCTTCCCTGTTGGGAGCCTCTTCTTCCAAAGAAAGGAATAAAGTCTCCAGCATCAGTGTGGATGGCATGTCTGTGGGACTAAAAAGTCTCAGGACTGGGCCCTGCTGATGACTTAAGCTGCTCTGCATACAAAACACCATGCCTGGAAGTTAAAAGCCTTGCTTTGCTGGCCCAAAAAGGGAAGATTTTTTAGAGGCTTGCTAAAAACAACCTTCGATCAGCTGTACAAACGTAGACAATGTTGTCTTTAGTGTCCCAGATGGTTCCAGCTGTTGGCATAAGCAATGACAATGACATTCATTTCTTTGCGTGAGACTTACCACACATAACCCATGTGAGACCAATTTTTCAGCTGCCTGCTGATGAGAAGTGAAATGCACTCAGAGAAAAGCTGTTCTTGAGGCCCATAGGACCCCAAAACCTGTGGTAAAAGACAAAGTGGGGAGGATTAGCTGTATGATCACTTCCGGCTACTATCTAATTTTATCTGTGTATCACTGATACCAAACGTCATTCTTTATATCATGACAACCTTTCAACAAATAGGACTAAAAATAAAAAGCAAGAGCTTGGAGTTGGCACGAACTGTGCGACATGGACTCTAATTTGTATAGCAGGAACTATAATCACTCTGAGACGTGCCCAAGCCCTCGGGCATCCCACGGGATTTCAGTCACTTGTTTACAAGGTGTTTTGATTTGCAGCTGTTTGGCTACTGTGGCATTTCAAGAGGGGGCGGTTTGAAAGGATGTTGTTACTCTGGAGGTCGGGATTGGGAAATGGGTATTGAAAAATCACACAAGAAAACAGGCGAGTGCCGTCTTTGTTCTCCCCCCTTCACATGTGAATGACGTCAGTGCTGGAGAAAGGAGCTCCAGGAACAGATTCAGAGACCAGTGCACTGGTGAGAACAAAGAGGGAACAGGTACAACCCTGAAAATGGAGCCATGCCCTGACCTACCACATACCAGTGCCCCATATCTGACTAGGGGAGACTGAGCTCGCAGGGTAAGAAGGGAAATATGCAAGCCTGTTGGTTTTTTGGCTTTTCACTTCACAAGTTTGCCAGCAAATACTGTGATACTATGACACGGACACCTCTAAGAACTGGGCTAAAAGCCATTGCCAGCTCACTTCAAACCAGCCACAAACAGGCCAGCAGATGAAACAGATTTGGTCACTGGCTTAAAGTGATTTAGCAATCAGACAGATCTTTCCACCGTTCCTGCTCTCCTGACCCGGACAGTTCCTCTTTCAGAGCTGCATTAAGCTAATGCCCACTTTCTTCTGGGCCCTCTTAGGATAATGGATTCACATATGCAGAAAGAATGTAAAAATCCATTTGTTGTCTGGGATGAGTGATTTGCCTGTGTTTGTTTAACAGCACGGACAGCAAGATGCCTGCTAAGTTGTAACTAGCTGAGGAAAAGAAAGCAAGGAGGAGGAGAAAATAGCTTGGCTGTTTTACAACTATGTTCACCGAGCTGTGCGCATTTTTTGGCTTAGTTAGCTGTTTGCCTGTTTTTTGTGGGTAACCAGGAAGGACTGGTGGAGCTTTTCCCAGGCTCTACAGTGTTATTCTCGTTTCCAGCATTTGGTTTTTACATGTGTTAGTTGACGGTAACTCATATAAAAATACAGTACCAATATAGGACATTTACTTTGCAAACATTCAGCCTGCTGCCCCTCTCTCCTCTGCTCTGACATTTTCCTGTGATGACTTACTTGAAGTGCCATGCACACATGAGAAGCATCACTCCTGCTGACCCTGGATATCAGTCCTTGCCTGTCCTATGTGTGACAGCAACCTGACTACACTTTCTTGGCAAAGAGCAGCAACCTCTTCAGCTCCTGGTAGTAGCAGAGGATTTGCCCTAGAATGTAAAGCATAAAAAAGGAAAAGAAAATCAGTTAGCCTATAACACAACCAATTGTTGTTCTAGCTGGGGAAAAAAAAACAAAAAAAACCAACAAAAAAAGCTCCCTGTGTTTGATTCTGAGTGACACTGATCGGTTTGGCACCAGCAGCTTCTCCACTGGAGACAAGAGTGACTTCTTTTTAAGCAAGTGTCAAAATGATCTAGGCTGGCATTACAGTTCATCACACTTCTTGCTTTCTGTAGGCAAAGTTGAAGGAAAGATTTGCATTTTCCTTGCACATGCCATCAAAGATCCTTACATACATGACTTAACCTAGCCCACACAGGAAATCTGTAACAGAGCTGGGGTCAGAAATCCTGACTCTCTCCTTTCCTCTAGCTAGTACATCTCTTCCCCAGGGTTAGCAAAGACTACTTGCCATCAGGGACGTGCTACACTGTCACCCTCTCCAATACGTACCCAGCTTAGGCTCCCTGTTTTTCACCCATAGCTATGGGCAACTCTGCAGAAGCGGCTGCTAGAAAGGAAGTTGGAGATTGCTGAAGTCTATTCTAATCCACGGTGTCTATATTTATGCAGCCCTTGTCACAGCAGAGCAGGGAAAATGTCACTGGAACAGTTTTATTTTTGCCAGCAGGCAAGAGGTTTAGAGAGAGGCGGTACAACCTCTATTTGATGATGTGTTTGTACAAATGTTTAACTTGCTATTTCTCTTAAAAATCATCCTTAATGTTGATTTACATTCCTGGCAGTGAAGTCAGGAGGTTGGCAACTCTGCTGCACTTCAGTCTGTGCTGCCACTGAGGCACTCACACGGAGCAGTGCCTCACAGCACTCACGTTTTGCCATCGAATGTCTGCAAGTTCTCACTCTGATATTCACGGGCAGGTGATGCGACTACTCCGTTTGTATTTGGAAGGCCGCACGGAAAGGATCGAAACGTTGCATCATTAAGAGGTGCGTGTGGAACTGCTCGATTGGAAACGATGGACGTGGGTGACACCGCTTTCCTTGCCATGCCACCCCGCTCCACGGGCTGAGCCGCTCGTTCTCCTGCCACGCAGCGGCGAGTTAACCACACGCCACTGTACCTTCCACGCCGTTTTTCACCTGAGCACATCAGGCTGACATTTTTACCGCCCTGCTAATTGCCGCGCGTCCAAAGACTCGAACGCTCCGTTAGAGCCTAAGTGGCGGGAAGGGGAGCAGCGGCCAGCCCCGCGCGCCCCGCAGCAGGGAACAACTCCTTCACCGGCAGCTCATCCTCCCGCCGCCGCTCAGAAGGACGCGACCGCCCTCCTCGCTGCCTCTCCGGCCTCCCTGCCCGGCGCTTTCGTGCAGCGTCACTCCGGTGCCGACGGAGCGGCCCCCACCCGCCGGCCCGCACTCGCCCCACCACACGCCCGCACCGCCACGCGCCCGCCTGGCGGACACGCAACGGCCGCGCCCCCTCCCCCGCGGCCCGGAAGCACTTCCGCCAGCCCGGCCGGAAGTGACGGGGGCGGGGCTCGGCGGCGGCCGCGCGGCGGCGGCGGCGTTATGTTCCTCACGGCGGCGGCTCGTGAGTGGCGCGGGGCGGGGAGCGGCGGAGGGCGAGGGCTGGGGCGGGGCGGGGCGGGGCGGGGCGCCGGCAAGACGCGAGCTCGGGTCCGAGCGCGGGCTGTCAGCGTCGCGACCTTCCCTTCGGCGCCGGGCCCGAGCCGCTCAGCCGGCCTCGCGGCGCGACTGCGGCTCCCAGCGGGCCGTTGTGCCGCCCGCTCCCGGCATGCCCCGCGCGGCCGCCTGCCGGGCCGCGACGGAGGGTGCGAGGCCGGGCGAGCTGTGAGGCGGAAGTCCGTAACGCTGGGCGCTGCGTTACACACACAGCGTAGTACGGTGGTGAAAGAGAGCCGGCGGCAGGCAGCTCGTGTACTCGTTTTACTCCCGTGACAGTAAATCTCTTGGCACGCTCTCTGGGGCGATGAGGGCACCAGGCGGTGGACAACTCTGGTTTCTGTGTGTTGCATTTGAAGGAAATGAGATTAAATGATATTTGTTTTCTTTTTCTTCCCCCTACTTCTTCGTGCTGCAAAATAACAGTGGCCAAGAGCAAATCTAAGTAAGTGACATTTTATTTACCATCCAGTAATTCTTGCTACCGCTCTCTATCAAGCGACTTAGCAAAATATTGCACCCATCTAGAATCTTCTAATGCATGTGAAAGAATTGTAGACTTTGAGTCTGGCTAGTGCCCTTTCTGCCCTTCAGCATGTGTGCCCTTCTCACAGGTGAGTACAGAGTGCTGTGAAAAAAGCCACTTAGGTTTCAAAATTGCAGCAGAGGTAGGTTTTGTTCTGAGGGCTGTCATTGAGCTGAGCACCCAGAGTGCCCTGTGCAGGGGATCCACACCTCCATGCCTTATGCTTTATGGAGAAGCTATAAATTGTCCTACAGCCTTCCTCTTTTTGACCTTTCACACTTTTTCAGCTGAGGACAAGCTGAAGTGCAGTGCGGATCTTCATGTTTGTATGCTAGACTTGAGATGGTGCTCTGAGCCTCTCCCAGGCTGGATGCAGAAGGTTTCCCCACTGTACTGCATTCGTATGTTGGCTTGTGAGCAATGGACAGTGCAGCCCGGTCTAGTAGTTGGCGACCCTGCACATAGCAGGGGGGTTGAAACAAGATGATCATTGTGGTCCTTTTCAACCCAGGTCATTCTATGATTTGCTCTGTAGTTCAGCTGAGGAGAGATGTTAGTGGGTTCTGGGAGACCATTAACCACAGCCCTTTGGCCTAAACAAAAAGCTGATGGGTTAGAGGGGAAGGAATATATACTTTTCTGCACGCTAGTGGTTTACACTGTAGGTGTAAGGAGACAGGAGCACATGGAGAAAATGACTTGCATCCGAAAGGCTACTTACCAGGAATTTAACTTAACAAACCAAGGGTTTAAACTGAACCAGTTTGTAGCAATACATTCTTGCCTTATTCTCTGAAGCTCCATTCTGTGCAAGTATTCAGTATTGCACGGCCTGAAAAACTATAATATGTTAAATTTCTTTTCTTTTTCTTTTTCTTTTTCTTTCTTTTTTTTTTTTTTTTTAAAGGGTCAGCCCCTAAAAGAGCCACTTGCTATGTTCGGAGAGATTCTTCCATTACAGAATTTCAGAGTGTTTTCTTGAGATAACAAATGATATCAGTAGTGATTTGTTTGCCCCATTCTTTGTGTTGTCTTGCATACACATAAGGAACATCTTGTCTCCTTACAGTACTTGTACATTCATGCTCCCTGTTTTAATCTCCACATCCTGGTGGCATTCCACTGTTCTTTTCTGCCTGTGCTCCTGGTCACATCTCTTCTTTGGGCAGTAAGTCTTATGAAGTGAGGTGTATTGTTCAGAAAGGACTTGGCCTCAAATATGTGGTGCGAAAGAGTTTCAACACGTGGTCATCCTGATACCACTGTTTCCCCCAGAAAGGGGAAACTCTGCACACAGGTTTTGAGGAAGTGGGTGAGGAAGAAGGGAAGGAGGCTGTGTGGTTCCTGGGGCTACACATCATAGCTTCAGTGGTGTGCAGAAGAGGGCATTCACTGGGGATAGTCCCTAGGTGATGTTCACTTGATGTGAGGGAATCCACTGTTTTTCTGTTTATTTTTAAACCCCAGTAAATTAAATTGCAAACGTGAAAAGGGATAGCTGAGGAGAGAGGACAGTGGTCTGAGCTGCACAAGTGAGGAAGGATGGGTGTCTCTCCAGAGTTAATTTTGACAAAACATTTGGTACTGGAAGCAGAAAGATCCAGAAAAGTGAACTGAGTGCCCATGCACAGAGCTGTATTCATCCCTTTACTGCAGTGGAAGATGAAGACATAATTTACAGACCAGTTAAAGGCTTTGGCCTTCCTTTTGAAATGCAGAAGATGCCCTCTGTTTCAGGGAAGTCTTGGAATGCTGCCAGGGTGAAGGCCTGGGGCTGCTTTCTCAGCCCCGTCTGCCCTGCTGCCAGGAGCTGCCAGCCCACTCCATGCACACGGAGTCTTTCTGTAGGGAAAAGGGCTCCTGGTAGCTGAGTTGATGTCAAGTCCTGCTCCTTGGGAGAGAGGTGGAGGGTGCCAGGGGGCTCTGCTTCTCCTTTTTGCGTGCCTCTTGTTCCATTCTATCTCCTCAGTTCCTCTCTGCATGTGGAAGTGATAGTTTGAGGTACGGTGTTATCCACAATCTATCATCATCCTTCCTTTCTTGCCATTATCATTTAAGATACAGTGACTCAACTGTATGTTGTTGGTTTCTCTTCTCTTCTCTTCTCTTCTCTTCTCTTCTCTTCTCTTCTCTTCTCTTCTCTTCTCTTCTCTTCTCTTCTCTTCTTTCTCCCCTCACTCCTTATCCTGTTTGATGGAAGAGCTACTTCACTATGATCAGAACTACCCAGGAGTTCTATACTTAAACTTGATGGTAGAATTCAAAGTTTGTAGGGTAGCATAAAGTTAGCATATGGTTTTAAAGCTCCCATCCAAAATATCCATGAAGTTGGAATGAAATGCCTTAATGTGCCAGATTTCTTATCCAAAGAGTATTGTCATGACAGTGTCAGGAGAGACCATGGGGGGACTGCTGCTGTGTGCTGTGTATTGACATAGAGCTACCGCTGTGACTTCAGATACATCCTGGTGAGGATGAAAAGTGCAGCAGAGACTGGCTACTGTTTCAACGTCAGGAGACTCCGATTGCAGGAGAAGCTGGTCCTGCTGAGATACGATCCCATTGGTAAGCATCTGGCGTAGCAGTCTGCCTGCTTTGTATTAACAGCTCTGGCTGTCTGGGGTGAAAGGTTTGACTGTAGCAGGATTTTTCCAATCTAAGCAGAATGTGTCATAATACGTTTCATGTTCACATGACTGTACAGTTGCTGTTCTTCATGACATTCCAGTGGGAAGTAAACGTTATTCTCATTTTACAGATTGTGGCACTGAAACAAAGTCATGACTTGTCCAGCACATCAGAGTCTTTGACAGCCATGCCGCATGTCAGTGGCAAAACAAAGTGACACAGGAGTTCTTTCATTTTGTTTCTTTGTGTGGTTTGCTAGGCAGTTACCTCTAACATGCAGCATGCTTCAATAGAAATGTTCTGTTCAGCTGCCCTGGGTACTCCAGACAATAAATGTTGGCCACTTCCAAAATAGATTTTTTCTTTTAAAGAGATAAGCACAAGTTCTTTCTCCTCCATGAATGATACCACTCTCCAGATGACAATTTGTGGGTTCTTTTATGTTGCTCTGGTCCTTGTAGATTCTCCCAGTTTAAGGAGCTGATTTGGCAGGGCTTAGAACACTTCCAAGAAGCCTTTTACTCACCAGGTTTTTGAAAGGTGACAGAGCTCGAGCTTCAAGGGGAGCAAGCAGTCTTCAGCTAACGTTAAAATGATTAATTTGGGTAAACTCAGAAAGTAAACCAGACAGGGCTAGAAATGGCATGGGAAAGTTGATGCAAAAAAATATTGATTCAAGTCTGGAATAAACAATGTATCGAGTTTTTCTAAGTAAATGACGTAATTATGGCTGGTAGTTATGTGGTTCAGGCTTATTTTTTTTAACATAATTTTACATTTTTGTTGGATTATGAACCTTGTCATGCCCAGATCTAACAGACCAGGAGCTTAATGGCAAGTGAGAGAAACTAAGGGGAAGCAGTATGCACTCATCCAAGTACCTGTGCTGATGGAGGTTGTGGCTTTCCTGAATTTCATACCCAAGGAGGATAAGAGATTGCAGGGGCTATTCCTTAATAAGAAAACTTCAAGTTAGCATTCTCTTTCCTACTTCTGAACATTGTGCAAAATGAACCTCCAGAAACTTTGCAACTTGCAAAACTGTGGGAAGATTGGAGAGCTCAGGCAAAGTAGTGCTTGTTTTGCAGAACGTGTAGTACGTTGCTGAAGGAAGAAATTGGAAGTAATTAAGAAAAAAAGCTCTGCTCTTTGTAGTCTGTAGTAGAGCACAAGTGAGAAATTGATGTGAGAAAGTGCTTGCATGTGTGAAGGGAAGCAAATTGGAGTCTAGATAACAACTCACATCAGGAATATGTTAGGAAGCATTTTCACTTGGCATGCATTATCACCTTATGTTTTGTTCTTCTCAGGAACCTGGGACCTCCAGAGAACGAAGCTTTTAGTGAAGTAGTGGTGGTAGTGCCCAAGTTTCACTACCTCATAAGTGCCACAACAGAATGTGTTACTAAGTTGGAGTATTTCCTAAAGCGAAACTTTTACGCGGAAGAAGTGATTCTGTTACTGGGTGGATTGTCCTCGCATTGCTTTCAAAGGCATGAATATAATCAAATGTAATCAGAAGAATGGTGCTTTTCAAATGGCATTGTAGAGCTTTGTTCAGATTCTCTTTTAGTCGTGCATCCGCTGTGCTTAATGTGTAGCTGAACTGTCTTTGCTAAGGTCCACATCAGGTGTTGGAGGCAGGCTCCAATTCGCTTGTCAGTCGATGTGTGAGCATGACTAGATGCTGCTTGTCAGCTGTAGTTATTTGGGCTCTGAAGCCGGAGAGTAATAGAAAGCAGTAAAGAACCTATTTTTGTCCCTACATCAAACAGCTGTGACTCAGAATAGTCACACAGAGCAGCTGCTGAATGTTTTCAGCCGCTTAAATCCTGATACTTATTTTCACAGAGGTAAAACGGACCTCTTGGGAGCTAAAAATGACATGCGGTAAAGCAAAAGCACTACTAAACCTCATCAAGAGTTGATTAACAGCAGCACTGTGCCAGTCACAGTTCATTTAAGCAGGGAAGCCGGCCAGGAGAAGGATGTAGGCCTGTTGAGTTGGATCTTAACACTTCAGGGTTCTTAATAGATTCTTTTTTTCTCTGTAGCAAAACAACGTGTCCTCTTCACAGAGAAGAGAAAAATCCGCTCCCTCTGAACAATGAGTGGACTTGATTTATGCAGGAGGAGAGGATGGTTCGGGAGGAGGACAGGGTGAATGCTGATTCAGAAATCCTGCACCATGGGCTGAAAAGAGAGGAAATGACCTGGGATCACCGTCTCCTGTGATTTGAAGGCCATTGTGAAGAAAACAATGTAGAGAGAGAAAATTATTAATGTCTGAACATAGATCATCACAGTAACATTTATTTATCTTTTGAGTTATTTTTACAGTACTCAATTGAAAAAAAAAATAAATGGCAGATCCCATTGTCTGTGTTTTCCATTGTGAAAGAGGCTGTAATCTTCAAAGGAACTATTGTTTTAAAAGGCAATAAAAATTAACATTTTCCACAGCGGGAATTCAATGGCAGGATTGCAAGTTTTTCTAACCTACCAGCCACAGAATCAACAGTAGTGACCACGAAGTGGTGGCATTCATAGGAGTAGCAGCACTGCAGCAGCTCCTTCCTAGGTTAGGAAGCAGCAGTGGGCAGCAGGTGGGATAAGACACTCTTTTGGATAAGCTGTGACCATGGCTAATAGGGCGATACTATTCCAAGTCAGGTAAGTAGGCCAGGGCTTTAACTTGGGGTTTTTGTCAAGCATGAGGAAAGTAGATTATCACATCAGTCCTCTGGTTTGTTCTCTGACAGATTTTGTTGGAGGGTTTTCTCCTTTAGCTGTCTCAAGCAGGCTTTACAGTAGTATGGCTACAGATGTGTATCAGAGTTGGGCTCAGTAGCATTGTCAGCTCCTGTCCACTGTGAGGGACCCAGTACGTGCTGCAGCTCCCGTCCGAGGCACGCAGGAAGGGTTGTCAGAGCTCAGTACCCAGAGCTGTGTGATGAGCTGCAGGCTGGGGAGGAGCTGAGCCCCGGGCATTCAGTGAGCCACGTGCTGATGAACACTGACCTCACTGCTTGCAACTGAGAACTGAAGTCACAATCTCAAAGCTTCATTTCCTGGCGTCACATATCAGAAGGTCTGATTAAAATCAAGTCGAAATGTACCAAGAGCGCAGTACCCTCCTGATGCGTTGCTGTGAACTTTGTATGCATTCCATGTAGTATAGTAGGTTGGATGGGATGGCAGTAGCCCAGGGGTTATGTGTGGGGCTGGACAGACCTCCTGTGCTGTGTTTGAAAGATAACCACCCCAGTCCCATCTTTACTATTGCAGAACAGGAACTAATAGGATTTTCAAATAAGCAAAGAGACTTTCCCGGTCTTTCCAGTCAGCGGAGGGGAACGTCTGTGCAGTGAGGAGAATAATGCTGTCTGGGATAAGATAAAATCAGTACATTGAGCTAGACAATATCAATTAGAAAAGGTCCTGAGGCAAGTCCTTCCTGTAAGGATATGAAGATTGTGTCCCTGATGCTTGGACACTCACTGATGCAATGTAGTTAGACTTCCTGACCATTTCCTCCATGGGCAGCTCGGGATAGTAAGCCAGATAGAAAGCCAGTGCTCCCACAAAACTGTCTCCAGCTCCCTAGAATAAAACAATAAACAAGTTTGAGCGTGCTCACAGGGAAACAATTCACACACATTTACTGGAAAGACAACAGTTGTAGCACTGACTGCAGGAGTCAGGAAATCATACACGAGTTGAGTTCAATTCACTTTTCTATGCATAGGAAATGCTGCAATTCTAAACTAATACCACACTCCAAACCCAATGTTTTTATCGAGGTATGTGCTATAATATGGTTTAAAGAAAAGAAAGGCAAGTGTGCTACAACTCAGCAGAAGTGCTGCTATAAACACTGCTTTTGAAACTTCCTGTTGTTGGAATGTTGATTCTGATTTCTCAACCTGAATGTTTCATTAAAGCTATTTTTTTGTTATTTAACTTCTGTTCTTCATAAAGGGCAGTGGTAGAAGAGACAGAGAAAAGGGAAAAAAAAAAAGCCATGTGGCTTGTGGTGTCTATAAATTTCCTAGTTGCAGAACGATACAGTTTGACGCCTCCAGACTTTAGCTGTTTTTCATTAAGAAGCTCCCACTGGCAAAGGTCTGTGCTGTGTCTTATCGTGTAAACCAATCTTATTCCTGGGGTGCGCTTTGCCACCTGTGCTGAGTCACCCTGGGCTCTGGCAGCTCTTCAGCTGTCCCCAGGTCTTTGTTGAGAGCTGCTGCTCGTTCTGCTCTGACCAACAGGGAATGACAACTGTTTGCCTCCCGAATGCTTTTTAACAAAAATTCTTATTTTGTTCGGTAGTGTTTTGAACAACTGGCAAGATGAATCACTTTTAACTTTATTTGCACATGTCATTCCAGTGTCCCTTCCTCCTCCTGAAGCACACCCTTCCATCCCCCAAAGCTGGCCTGATTTCTGAGGCCACACTGATAACAGCTCTTGGTGGTATGAAGCTGCTCTCAGGTCTCTTTGCTTAAATCATGCTATTAGCAAAGTGTTGTACTGTACACGCTGGTACTGTCTTATTTGAGGACCAGCATAAGGATTGTCTCCCCTGGGGGTTTGCTGCTGTAGTTCTAATAAACCCTTCTGAGGACACAGAGGGCTGCCAGAGTCATGGGACGGGAGCAGAAGGCCTGGAAAAAGGCAATTAAGATAGCTGAGCAAAACTTCTAACTGGAAATTACAGATAGAAAGTAATTTTCCAATTTTCATTTCTAGTGGTTCTCACTATTAAGCTTATGCTTACCGTGGAATCAGCTGCACGTAATATCGTTCTCCACAAAAAATACCATTTCCACAGCAATCTGTTAGAAGCAGCTGCTGGGGCAGAGCAGCACGGCAGTTGCAGGGGAGCCCTGACGTAGGTGAGCACAGGTACGGGTTGCCCACGCCTGTGCCATGCCGCTCTCTGCTTGCCCGTGCCTGTGCAGCAGTTGTTTGTGCTGTTCCAGCCAGGAAACTCCCTGTTTAACGCCCTCCTGGCCTGAATTCTGCCCTCGCCTTTGCAGTGGGGCACAATGCAGGGTGTCGCCTGGCAAACGGCACCTTGCTTACTGCAGCATGCAGCTGTGGCAGCAGCTGTTTCAACAGTTCTGTATTGCTGAACTGACCGGGGGCCAGGGAGGGTTTTTATCAAGGTCTGCGAGGCCTTTGTCTCAGCCCTGCTGCTCACAGCGCTCCCACAATGCCAGGTGGAGCAGTAACAGGTGACTGCTAGTTAAGCATTGCCAGTATCTTTTGTCTGATACATAATACAGAAATCTCTGGCCCATCCCAGAGTTTATAATCTAATCAGCACATGATTAATTATTAAAGGTATTTTGGCACCTCTGTTACAGACAGAAGGTTTGTATTATTATATATTATATATATATAATATTATATAATATTTCTACAAGCAGATCTGTTGTGCTGCAGTGCTCACAGGAAGCCCTTGTCATTGTTACATGAAATATTTCTCATATTGAGAAATATTTCTCTATATTCAAAGTTGATCACTTTATAATGTAAGTGGCCAGATAATAATTTTAATGAGGAGCACTCAGTGTATCTGGTATCAAATGGCATAAACTCTATGTGGCAGTGGCACAGGATGGAGCATTGTATTTCTGATCATTATTATTAGTGGAGATAACAAAATACCAGCCCCCAAAAAAGAATAATTGCAAGAATAATGACTTTGAAAATGACTGGTAAGATGCATTTATTCTGCTCACTGACAAAACACAAACACGGGATCTGTAATGTTTTACATTCCTCAGTATTTGTATTCCAGGAACCCTAATACATTGCAGACTTTGAGATAATCCTCATACCCTCGAGTGCCAGGAGTCAATTCATTCCATTATTATAAAAATATAACTTACTTGACCTTTTTGTAAAGCACGGGATGCCAGTTTGCATGTAATAAAATAAATAACTAGATCATAAAATCAGGCTGATACTGTGTGCCCAGTTCTAAAATGCAAATGCTATGGTCTCCACTAAGTGCTACGGTTTTGCAGCAGTTTTTAAAACCTATTTATATTCTGAGCCACAAGTCTGGAAGGCCCTTGTTTTCCTGTGTGTCTGAAAAAGGGCATTTTTGTTTATTACAATCCAGCACTGACTGAGATTCTGTGCCTCTAGAGAAGAGAAAACCCACGAAAACACTTCTATTTATACCTTAGCTTTTGTTAGTCCTGATTTGTCAGAAGCTGGTTCACAACTTTAGTGTAACTATTTTTATACGATGCTACCCTGAGAAGCTTTTTATAGAAATTGCTTTGTAAGTGGAAACTATATTGTTCAACAGTACTTCCAGCAAGTAAAGCATTTTTCAATCAGTCGTGCCCAGAATAATAGGATGCATTTCACTTCTACAATAAGATGACTTGTTCACCAAAAATATTTGGAGGCCGAGGTGCAATAGCTGCAGTTCCCAGTGTTGCCACAGTTGCGCTGCCTTTGTGCTGGATGACCCTGTGATCGCCCCTCACCCTCCTACCCTGCCCTTTTGGGGAAGAGTAATGGCAGCAATGCAGGAATTGTCACAGCTGTTGGCTCCTGAAGCCCTGACCTTGTTCTGAGCCTCAGAAAACCTTCCTCGGGTGGTTTTCAAGAAGTCGCAGTCAGGTACACCCTACATATATGCCATCACTTGTACGAATAGGCTGCCAAATCCTAAAAGGGACAGTGTGTTGTACAGCAAAGCAACAGATCCGTCAGGCTTGCCTGTAACTCAAAACTCTTCATTCAGTGAATAAATCAACAGCAAAGGCTGTAAAGAACTGCACTCTATCATAGGATCAACTATCTGGCTTGTAACAAAGCTTATGGTTTCCTAGGAGCATTCACAGCAGTGCACAAACCAGTGCAGCCCAACTATTACACTGATTTAGTGCAGCCTAACTACACAGCCATACAGAGATGCCCAGCTCTGTTGAAGGCCTTGGAGAATTCCTGTCTTACTTATATCACTCCGCAACACTGCAACACTGGATTATGCTGTGAGTGTTACCCTTCTGTGTCACATCTACTCAGCACTCCTTAAGGGGTGCACCACTGCCTGCCCTGCAGCCGAACGACAGACGTAACACAAAGATACCATCAGGAAAGTCCCACACATCTCTAAAACTTAAAGAATTTGAAAATTGCAAAGAGCTTTTCCACTAACACAGTTATTCCTCTACCTATGCGTGGAGTTTTGAGCTGGAACAAAAAGATAAAAAGTCCTTAAAATGGAACTACTACGTTTTGCAATTAAAAAACAACAACAACAAACGAGCTTGAAACAAACAGCAGGGCTCCCCTTTTTAGATCTTCTGCTGTAGTGGTACAGATTGAGCTCAGCAAAGCTGCTTGTGTTGAAGTGAAAGGAGAAGTATGAGAAGCAGACTGTGCCTCAGACTTGTAGGGTCTGGATCCACGACCGTGTTACTGTGCTTAATCTGTGTGCTGGTAACTGAGCATTTCTGCAGTCTTGTCAGGAAGACGAGATTGAATATGTTACCCTGAGCCAAAGAAGAAGACAGTGAGCCAATCCCTGGCAGTGCTGCTGGCCCCTTCCTCTCTTCCTGCCCTCCCAGATGCACACTGACACCAGCTGATGTGGCCTGTGCCCTCTCCCAACCATGTCATGGGGAATGGCTGTGCCACCCCTCACTGTACCCCCCTTCCCATTAGCCATGTGCAGAACGGCTGCGATCAGCCACTGCTTCGAAGTCACAGGAGGTGTGAGCTAACACATTTTAACTGGCATTCACTGTAGGTTGACAGTGCACTCTTAATTCCAGTGATTCAGCCTGCAGTTTCAGAGCAGGCCTAAGCCAAGCCACATTTTTGCTGTTGCTGAAAGGCTCTGTCTCCGCTCATGTTTTTATCCTTGCCTACATCAGACGTAGCCTCAGTGCAGCCAGGCAGTGAGGCAGGCCATTCCCCCCCACTCTGTTGTGAACTGGGTCAGCCAGCGCTGACTGGGAAGCATTAGTTTGCACCCAGCCCAGCAAGCCGCCACACTACCACATTACAGCCAATGCAAAAGAGAAGGAGGTGAGAAACACTCTCAGCAGCCGCCTGATCTTGGATCAGCTCAAGCCAACTGTGAAACCTCACCCTCGGTCAACACAAAGCAATTCATTAACTCAGTTGTGTATCCAAGTCCTAGAGCTCTGGCTCCCCGTCCAAGCAGGGAAAGAAAGCTGCCTGGCCCGCTCCCTGCTGTACCCCGTGGGCTCAGACTGAGCACTGAGGAACGACCCTGCTTCCCTTCTGTATAATTTCCAGACCCTGTTCTGGGAAGCTGTGGGAAGGAGCAATCTCTGCCTTTCTTGCATTTATATTGCATTGTACTTGCATAGCCATTGCACAGGGAAAATTTCTCCCTCACTTACTCAAGCAGAGCAATGGCAGCAGGCCATCTAGTCCTTCACATGCCTTCAGACCTCTGAGGTAACTGAACGGCACCCACTGGAGGCTATCAGTTGGGAAATATCAAAACCAAAGCACACCACACAGTGCTCCACATCAGCTGTCAGGAATTTTTACCCACTTCCTGACAGATTTCCTGATGGTTCATTAACAGTGATTAA